GCTGGGACTTTTAACTTTTAGTAACCTTGTTTTTGTGATAACAAAAAGTAATTTTAAATTTTTAAAATTTATCACTATATGAAAACACCAACAGTACTTAAATATTTTATCTTATGGAATTTAACGAGTTAAGATTACTTGATATATTTAACAGTTGACATTTAAACTTTGTAAACCAATCAGATGTCTCTAATAAATACATCCATGATTAATTTCATGTAGGTCAGATCTAATTTACATTTTTTTTAAAAAATTAAAGGTATAAGACAAGGGCACTGAATAGCATTTGTAATTTTTTTGCATTGAAGAAAAACCCTAGAGACAATAAATATTAGCACTTTGTAGACATTAACATTTTATTAAGAACTGTTTGACGACTTAGAAACAAAGCTGTGCATTAGTAACTTAAAGACACTTTTACTTTTATTTACTTACCCAATTTCAATTGGATGTTTTAAAACATATGAAGCAAATGTATTTGGATCCATTTTTTAAATTTTAATTTATGAGCTCAGAGGTCAATTTTTAGTACCAAACATATGTAGACACTGAGACACTGATGTGACTCCATTTTTGAAAATAAATAAATAACAGCAGCTTCTACCTCAAGGCCTGCCCAAGGAAGGGGGCGTGACCCTTGTCCTTGGAAAAACCCACAGAGCACTCCTAGGCACATACCCAACCTGCTGAGTTGTTTATCTGCAAATAACAGGAGAGATCTGAGGCACCAGGTGTCCCTGACTCAGTTAGGCTACTTGAGGACCCACAGCAACCCCCTAAAAACCTCCAATCAGCATGAGACAGGGAAAATACCTGAGATGCCAGATGACCCCCCAGTAGTTTATGGTGGTTGATAACATGTTGGGAAACCATGTAGTTCAGCACGTACGCTCCTCACAGCTTAATCCAATAAATTCAAAGGAATCCTGCAAACCCACCTTTCTCCTCAAGTGTGGCTCAACGGGCTTCAACAAATATTCCTACTCATCCATTAATTCCCTCCAGTGGGGATGGGACCAAGCAGAACAAGTCCAACCTGGCACTGAGATACAATCAACCCACGGGAAAGAATGGTTGATTCCTGATGCTTCAGGAGAAAAGATCTTCATCAGAACTGGGATATATAAATGGTGTCCAAATCAACAGGCAGTAACTTGTGTCAAATCCTGATGAAGGGGAGCCAGGGGGCCATGGGGGGAAGGTCCCTGAGCAGCACTGCCTGGCAGCAGGAACTATGACAAGTGAGTCAGTCACAACCTCAGCTGTGCATAAAATCCACCCCAACCTGTACCCCCATGTTTTCTAGGAGGACACCTGGCCAGTCGCTGCCTGTTGTCCTTGAACTGAGGCCACCCTTGGTACTGAATCTGTGAGCCAGTGAGAATTGATCAAAGCTGCCTTTGACACCCTGTCTCCCTTTGCCTCCTGGATGGGGCTCTGACTCATCTTTCTTTGGGTGTCCTGCATTCCTGCCCTATTATGTCTGCCTACCCTTGTTCTTTGGAGAGCCACTGTCCTTTGTGACTTAGGTTGACAGAAACATCTACCTGCCTCCTGCACCAAGTCAAGGGTGGTAAGAGAAGGCAGGGCTGTGGAGTGAAGTCACCCTTTCAGCTGGCTACACACAGACAAATGGCAGAGAGATTTAGAATTTAGTCAGAAACTAGACTTCAAATGTTGTGAAGCCTAAAAAGCAATGAGGTCTCTGAAACAGCCTTAACACTAGTGAACTGCACGCATAGGAGATTAAATGTGGGTCATTTGTGGTAAGTCATTATGTGAAACAGAAACCAAAGATCATCTCAGCCAACTGTAAGTATCCAACTAACAAACGATTATGAGATGTGAGCAGGGATATTTTCCAACAAGATACGCAAGAAGACCATAATGGTTACATGCTGTGTCTCCCAACAGCTCACCTGTGAGACAATGGTTTGGGAGGAGACATGATTGGTTTATAGCCTTAACCTTGTCAGTAAATTAATTCCCAATGGGACTAACTGAGTAATTCCAGGAGACAGGTGGGGTGTGGCTGGAGGAAGCTGATCATTGGGGGTGTGAATATAGTGTGTATATTTTGTATCTGGCAAGGGGCCATCTCTCTGCCTCTCTGTTCTCTAATAATGTGAGCACCTTCCCTCTGCCACAATCTCCCACCATAATGGTCAGCCTCACCTTGAAGGTGAGGGCCCAAGGAATGGAATCTGCTGTGTGTGCATTGCGACCTCTGAAACCATGAGTCCCCAGAGAAACTTTCCCTCCTCTGTAGTTGTTGGGGTTGGGTATTTTAGTCACAGCATGAAAAAGCTAACACAAAGACAGAACCACAAAGCAGAAATGCAATTCTGTATCTGCCGCCAGTCAAACCATTCCTTCTACATCTCCCCTGTAAGTGCTCCCCTCACATGGCTCACCATCCAAGCACTCCTTCTCTTTCCGTCTCTCCTTCCTCAATTCCTGAATCACTTTATACTCAGGCTCTTCAATTTTCCCTTTGCCTGTGAACTTCTCACAGCCTAAAGAGCCCTGGAAACTGCCTGGAGCAAAGGCTGCCTGGGAGATGTGCCCTCGGGTCCCTGATTCTGCAGGAAGACTCTCCAGTGGGTGGCCTCCCTGATGCCAGGAACACCTGCTGTCCCACCCTGTGTCTCTCTCTCCCACGTTGCCCACAGTTTCCCCCCTTGGTGGATTTCAGACTTTTCCAAGTCCCCATCAGGGGCATGTTGGCCCATGCCTATAATCACAGCAACTCAGGAGACTGAGGCAGGAGGATGGCAAATTTGAGGCCAGCCCCAGCAACTTAGTGAGGACCTAAGCAATTTAGTGAGAAACTATCTCCAAATAAAAGCAAAAAAAGAGGGGCAGGAGATGTGATTCAGTGGTAGAGAACCAATGGGTTCAATCCCTAGTACAGACAGACAAACAGGAGGAGTCTTGCCCTAAGTCTAGAAGACTGATTCCACCCTCCTTGTCTGCTCTTCCTCTCTGAGTGAGCCCAGATTTGCTGCAAGGTAAATCGACACTTGTGTGACTGTTGTAAACATGGTTTCCATTCTGTGGTCTTCGTGGGTGACACTACTGTCCTCAAAAAGCTGTTTTTACTATGGAATTTTTGGAAAAAAAATTCAAATAATTTTGATATGGCCAAAGACCCCTTTGAAAGCTATTTTCAGGTATTGTTTTTTCATAGGGACTCAGTGCTTTTCTGTCTCACGGGAGGAACAGGAGGGTCACATATGGACAAAATTGAGTCCATGGTGTGGAGTGCATGGAGGGACGCATCCCTGACTGTCACACTCTCCCGGATTCTGCGCACTTTCATGAGATCGGATTCAATCAGTCAATCTGGAGGAAGACAATCCGATCAGGATTAAATGGGTGGAGACTGGAGAACCTGATCAGATACTGCTTTCTGATTGGATGCCAGCCAATCAGATGGAGGTGGGGGCGTGGTCAGAGAGGTCCATAAAAGCTTCTGTGGAGCCAGAAGAGAAACACAAGAGTCCTGGAGCCCAAGGAGAACCAGCCTGGCCTGCTGAGGCTCCGAGAACCCTGCACACCTGGACCGATCCCGTAAGTCCCTCACGGCCCTGAGCACCACCCCGTCCCCGCCTCACCTGTGCGGATTCAGGACAAGTGTTTTCCCTGACTTTTCTCATGAACCAATTTAGAACGTCGATTTTGCCTCTCAGTGTATTTTTACCTTAATCCTGAACTCTAGGATTTCCACTTTGGTTTATGTCCCTTTCGATTTTCTTTCTTTTTTTCTTTGGTAGGAACTATTGAACCTGGGGGCACTCAACCACTGAGCCATATCCCCACATCTAAATTTAGAGACAGGGTCTCACTGAGTTGCTTAGCGCCTGCTCTTGCTGAGGCTGACTGATCCCATGATCCTCCGGTCTCAGTCTCGGGAGACCCTGGGATTACAGGCTTGTGCACTCACGCCCTGCACTTTTTCTTTTTTTCAATTGTTTTTTTTTAAAGTTTATATGGACAATATAATTTATTTATTTATCCATTTATTTATTTGGTGGTATGGCGATTGACCCAGAGTTTTGTGCATGGGAGGCAAGCACTCTATCAACAGAAGTATGTCCTCAGCCCATCATTTAATAATTTTTACGTGCTGCTGAGGATCAAGCCCAATGCCTCACTTGACCGAGGAAAGTGCTCTTCCACTGAGCTTCAGGCAAAGCCAATTTAAAATTACTTAACCAAGGAAGTAGATTGCAATCCTATTTCATTCTAATTGATTGGAATTCTATTTTCTGATAATAAAAATATTTATTTTGTGTGCCCTTAAAATTATACTGTTTTGTTGGGCATGGTGGCACACACCTGTAATCCCAACACCTCTAGAGTTTGAGGAGGCCAGAGAATTAGAGTTCAAAGCCAGCCACAGCAGCACGAGGTGATAACAAATCAGTGTGACCCTGTCTCCAACTAATATCCAAAAATACGGCTGGAGCAGTGACTTACTGGTTGAGTGTCCTGAATTTAATCTTCCATATTGCCTCATCACCCAGATTATACTTTATGGCTTATGTAGTTTTGTAATTTTATTATTTGTTTCAACAAAAAGCTTCAAACTATCTCATGCAACAGTTCACAGACTCTGTTCTGATCTGTTTGTTCTCTTCAACTCCCACTAAGGTGGCAGAATCTCACATGGGTAACAGATATCCATGAGACTCTTGTAATTTCCAAGTGTTTTATAATATGGGCACATGCTTTATAATTGCTCATTAATTTTTTGATATTAAAAATACCATCCCCCATGTGAGGGCAACTCCTTTCTGAGCCTCTGTAGTTATTCAAACAGAGGATCCTACTGCATTAAGTAACATGACACCAAAATTCCCATTTTATACAGACAAAGTAATAAGGAAAGGCTTTCCCCCATTAAGGTTGGGATGAGTTTTAACTCCCCAGTACCCCCTTCCCATAGGCTGGCAATGGATGGGATAGTGGCCTTTTCTCTGGACCATTTTCCTGGATCCTTCTTCTTTCAGACTCCCCAGGATGAGCATCCAGTCCCCACCCACGCTGCTGGAGCTGGCAGGGCGCAGCCTGCTGAGCGACAAGTCCAGGGCCATCCTGGATCTGGAGGACCTGCCCATAGAGCTCTTCCCACCACTCTTTGTGGAGGCCTTCAGCAGGG